AGTGCGCTGTGAGACTGTAGATGTTGTTTGTTATCATTTTGCTATTATTATGGCACCAAGCGAAAGAAGTGACAATTCTGACAGACAGGCCAGAACAATTAAGGCAAGCAGGAAGCTGTCTGCAGAGATACCCAGGGCTCCTGGCTCACCTCTCTTCCCTGCCGCCCTGCTGAGTGGCAGCCACTCCATGCGCATGGCTGGCACAGCCAGGGTGAGGATGACTCATCCTGAGCAGGCTGTGGGAGATAAGGTGGGGAGCAGAGCCCGGAACAGAAGTGAGTTACTTTGGCATGAGGGAGGGATGAACCCAGCAGACTTTGTTGTTGTTGGCTCAGCTTCTCCAAGGAGGGAACCTTAAGTGCAGGCTTTGGTGGCTGTCCACAGCAGGAGGGTCACACAGCTCATTCCTGCACAGCATCCACGGACTCTTAGTTATCAGCACCAACTGAAATAACAGCCACCGGTTTACTCTTACCTAATCTCAATTGTCCCCGTTATCATTTCTCAAGAATGATAGGGGAAGGTAGGGAGCCAAGAAGAAGCCAAGGATTACTGGTGAAGGAAGCTGCATGTTCCTAGTCAGAAAACTTCCTGGGGGAAGGAAGGTACCATTAGTCATGACCAAACACTTTCTGTGTGTGTGTGTGTGTGTGTCTATGTGTGTGTGTGTGTGTGTCTATGTGTGTGTGTGTGTGTGCATGTGCGCATGTTCATATACACCAGTCTTCAGGCTTAGGACTCAGGGCTTGAGTGCTGTCCCTGAAGTTTTTGGCTCAAGATTAGTACTCTCCTGCAATGAGTTGAAAAATCCCCAGGATAAAGACCACTGACTCAAAAACCGAATCTTGATTAGAAGGAAATTTATTAGTAAAAGGTAATTTGTCAATAGCCAATTTTAACCGGCCGGGACTACTCCTAGGTATTGGGAACCCAGAAGCAACTCCGAAAAACAACAAGTGGGAGTTTTATGGGGGTGTCATGTAAATGGAATCTCTCCAACTTCCCTGTGTTTTGCAAACCGAGCAAAATACAGAAGCAGAATACAGAAGCTAAATATCTGGTTGTCAGAAAAAAAAATATGTAGGTGCCAGGCCCACCACTCAGAATAAAATCGGCTGCTCACAAACTACCTCCTGTCCAAAGTTCTTTTTAGGTGCTTTTGTGAGTTTTTCTAGAAGTTTCTTGCCATGGCTTCCTAGCATCATCATGACCCCTGCCCTGGCTTTCCAGCTCTATCATGGATCCTCTCATGCTGCTGTGTGCCTCATTTTATTTACCTTATTTCACTACCACTTGAGCCTCAAGACTAGTGCTCTACCCCGTGAGCCACAGCCCACTTCCAGCTTTTTTTTTGGCAATTAATTGGAGATAAGAGTCTCACTGACTTTCCTGCCTGGGCTGGCTTTGAACCGTGATCCTCAGATCTCAAGTGTGAGCCACTGGAATTCAAGAGGATCCAATACTCCTAAAATCCTCAAGCCTCATGTGCTCCCAGGCATTCCCATAACCAAGATTCCACTTCTTCTGTGGCTGGCATCAGTACTGTACTCTCTACCCATCAGGAATACAATTAGGAGCTCATCTGTGACTGTTAGGCCCCATCCCCCTCCTTTCCCCTGATTTCTTTGCATAAGTTTTCTTTTTCTCTGACTTCTCCTGACCTATGCCCTCAACTTCATCATTCAACTTTGTTTCTTTTTTCTTTCTTTCTTTCTTTTTATTGTGAAAATACAGTACAGAAGGGTTACAATTACATGGGCAAGGTAATGAGTACATAATTTTATTTGCTTTTTTTGTCCATCATGGGGCTTGAACTCTGAGCCTGGACATTATCCTTCAGCTCTTCAGCTCAAGGCTAGTGCTCTACCACTTGAGCCACAGCACCACTTCCGGTTTTCTGGTAGTTAATTGGAGATTAAGAGAGGCTCACAGACTTTCCTGCCCAGGCTGGCTTTGAACCGTGATCCTCAGATCTCAGCCTCTTGAGTAGCCAAGATTACAGCCGTGAACAACTGGCACCCAGCTCAACTTTATCATTTCTATAGCACCAAATGGCCACGACTCTTATTTTGTATTCAGTGTTCAGATCCCAGTACCGCATCAGCCTGTTAGAGATGTCATTTCCTTCTGTCACAAAGACCTCACTGTTCCCAATGCCTTGTATTTAATTGCATGAAATGTTGACTTTTCTTTATGACTTTATTGGTTTTCCATCTCAAGCCCTAGATTGATATGGTAGCTATACATCTCCAGTGATGGAGCCTCCATCCTTCCCCCTCTGCCTCCATCCCAACAAATGCAGCCTGATCTCAGCATGGGGATGATAAAAACCAAGAAAGTTTGTGAGTGTGTCATTAGTACGACAACCCTAATTCATCTCATTTTGCCTAGGATGAGGCTAAAAGGGGTGGGGGTGGGGTGAAACACTTGCTCCCAGAAATGTGCTTGCATTTTGTTGTTGGTGGTGGTCATGGGGCTTGAACTCTGGGTCTGGGCACTGCCCCTCAGCTCGTCAGTTCAAGGCAAGTGCTCTACAACTTGAGTCATAGCATCACTTCAGGTTTTCTGGTGGTTTATTGGAGATAAGAGTCTCACAGACTTTCCTGCCTGGGCTGGCTTTGAACCATGATTCTCAA